CTGAGTGGACTGCAGTGAGTGAATGCAGTGGCACGATTGAATGCAGTGGACTGCAGTGTCACTAGCAATTCCTGAACCAAACACGGCTGTGGCGGAAGGACTACGAAGCGTCTGGCTATTCAAAATGTGGCCCGGGAATGTAGTTCTGGGAACTCGAAGACCAGGAAGTGGCCTACAGTTGGCTCCGGGCATCCAAAATGTGGCCCGGGAATGGAATTCTGGGAACTCGAAGAGCACGAAGTGTGTGACTGTTGCATCCGGCCCTCCAGAATGTGGCCCGGGAATGGAGTTCTGGGAACTCGAAGAGCACGAAGTGTGTGACTGTTGCATCCGGTTATTCTAAATGTGGCCCGGGAATGGCGTTCTGGGATCTCGAAGAGCACGAAGTGTGTGACTGTTGCATCCGGGTATTCAGAATGTGGCCTGGGAATGGAGTTCTGGGAAGTCGAAGAGCACGAAGTGTGTGACTGTTGGTGAAAAACGAGCCCGGCACCCTGCCGCCCGGCAACTCCCCAACACCTGCCCGGACCCCCCTGTGGAGTGATCTGTGAGCTCTTTTGAGACCACTAGAAACCTATCAGTCTTCGCTGTTAGGTAAAAAAATCCAAAAATGCTCAAACATAGTCATAAAATTGTCCCCTGACTATTTTTTACTATTTTTGAATATTCCCCCTGTAGAGGGACAGGCCCGACTTAACATTATGAGGATAAATTCGGATGAGGAGAAATCGGGAATCTCTGAGAGCCAACGAGTCTGGAGGATGCATCAGGCGCCGCGGCCGTTCCAGAGCACCTCGGAACGCTCGTGCGAGAGCGTTCGGGATCGTTCTGGAGCGACTTCAACCCATATCCTGGGCCTGCCTGGGGATGTCCTGCGCTTTTCAGCACGGGGCCCTGGAAGTCCCGACTCTTCCCCCCTGGGCCAGCCCCTTCTCCCGAGTCGCTGTGCTGACAGTCTCGGGGCCCCGCGAGGACCCGAGAGAGGCCCAAGACGGATAACACTTCCGCATTCCTAGGCCTCCCACATGGGGTCCGAGCAAATGAGGTCGAGGGTCGCGCGGCATCGCCGGTGCATCAACGATGCATTGCCGACGTCGGCGATGCATCGGCGCCGTCGGCGCGGAGAAAATCGGACTCCACATCGAGCCGCATCGCCTATTCGGACCTCATGCGGGTGGCCTGGAGTCTTGTGCTTCTCTATACGTAGGACACTGCAGAAACATTGAACCTTCGAAGGTCCGCGCCGATTTCTTGGAACGTCGCTGGACCCCAGTCCCTCGTGCGCGGAGCGCACCAGGGGCGGCGCTGGAGGTGCCACCAGGGGGGCGCAGCGCCAATCCAAGAAATCCAAGCGAAACTCCGAAAGCTTCTACTTAAGCCTTTTTGTGCTTCGTGTGATTAGTATTACGGTTACTCCGAGTGTTACTGACGTCATCATTATCATGAGCATTACTCGCATGAAAATCATTACTGATATCATGATGAGTTGCCTTCATCATATGATAGCTACGACCCTCCATATTACCAGTACTAGTATCTTATGATTGTCAACCTCATGATCACTGCTATGAATGTTACTATCATCATGTATCGCACTGTCAGTCGTATTAGTACTGATAGGGTTAGTTGTCGTGTTTGTGTTAGGGATAGTGTTCTCAATACTCTTATAAGTGTTCGTATTACGAATACTGATATCATCAAAAGTACGACTACTCCAATTATTCATAATACTATTAGTATGGTGACTAATATTACTATTGCTACTAGGAGAACCAAAACCACTACTGCTACTACTGCTACTACTGCTACTCCTATTAGTACTACTACTACTACTACTACTACTACTACTACTACTACTACTACTACTACGACTACGACTGCTACTCCTACTCCTACTCCTACTCCTACTCCTACTCCTACTCCTACTACTACTACTACTACTACTACTACTACTACTACTACTGATAATGATAAAAATACTTATACTAATACTCCTACTCCTACTCCTACTACTACTACTACTACTACTACTACTACAACGCCTGCTAACGCTACTACTGCTACGACGACGACTACTACTACTACTACTACTACTACTACTATGACTGCTACGGCTACTACTACTACCACCACTACTACTACCACTACTACTACTACTACTACTACTACTACTACTACTACTACTACTACTACTACTACTACTACTACTACTACTACTACTACTACTACTACTACTACTACTACTACTACTACTACTACTACTAATACAACTACTACTACTACTACTACTACTACTACTACTACTACTACTACTACTACTACTACTACTACTACTACTACTACTACTACTACTACTACTACTACTACTACTACTACTACTACTACTACTACTACTACTACTACGACCACTATCTACTGCTGCGACTCCAGCTACTACTACTACTACTACTACTACTACTACTACTACTACTACTACTGCTCTGCGCTGTTTTTTCTGCTG